AGTACAGAACGACTATCACTTTTGATTATCTTGTTTTCTTGACAGCTGTTCGCTGATGTTCAATTCAATCATTTGTATTTGGCGCAATTTGGCGGTAAAAGATACTGAAGTAAATGATTTTTGAATATTTAGTGTGTTTAAGTTTTTTCGAGTGTTTTGAGATACTAATTAAGTAACTCTATCCACTGGAAGCAGATTTGGTGAGTTAAAATTATTTCGAATTAATAATTTATAACAAAAAGCCGTCTTCTTCTAATAAATAACCTAAAACTTATTAACAAAATGAATATACTACTAATAGAATTGTAGTACATTCCCTTATTTATTAAAGGTCGTGGTGATACAGTTACATGAAATATTTCAGAGAACGTTTTAGTGATATGGCTGAAATAGCTGTGGATTCTGTGAACGAGTTGTCGCATTCTTCTCGTATTTCTGAAAGAAGACGAGCTTTGTTTCCTAATGACAACGATAGTGATAGTGATTTAGGATATATGAGCCCCTTAAGATCAGATTCAAGTTTAAGCCCTCCAGATTCACCACTTAATCAAGTACATCAAAGAGAGACTATGAGAAACGGTTTATTTAAGTTTGATGAAAGTTCTATAAACGATTACGTTATTTTGGGAAGTGTAGACAATAATACAACAAATTATTTTCAATGTAACATTAGTGGATCAGAGTTAGAACATACAAATTCCCCTTTTTTCACAAAACATCAGGATGAACTATCCAATTCATCATTAAAAATAGATACTAATGAAACATTTATTCCAGACACTCCATTAAAGTTATCTCCTGTTAAAAATCATCAAACTCCACAAGAGTCCTTTAACGTTTCTGTTAAAATTCCTAAACTTATACGTAAATCAGTTGATACTGGCTTTATTGTACAAGAGTGTGGGAAAAGAAAACTCTCTTCCCCTGAATCCTCCCCTACTTCTAAGTATCAAAAATTAGAAGGAGTCGTATCAAAAGTTTCAAGAGTCAGAACTACCTTATTTCCAGTTGAAGAGTCAGAAGTTTGTGTTTCTCCCAAGTCATTTTATCCAAAAATGGAGAACATTACAACTGAAAAATTTGAAAGCACTTTGAAGAATGAATCAAAAAAATGTAAGCCTAGATCTTCTCAAACATTTATATGTAATCGACGTAAAAAGAGTAGATTTGGACAGATAAATGCAGGAGTTAGACACAAAATAAGAAAACCAAAACAGAAAAGATCATCTAAGTCTCAGGTTTTAAAGGCTGCTCTAAATATATTAGAAAAATCACCTTTTAATGAATATCTCCAAGAAATGACAAATATTCAGAAAACTTCAACAATAACTCCAAATATGATCAAACAAATCCAAACAATTAAGAAAAATGACCCCCCTTTAAAAAATACTTCGGAAATTGAACCAGTTTATAAACATAATCCGTTAAGTATTGACCAAGAAAACAAAAAAAGAGAATTAAGTCCTCCTCCTGATAACAGTAAGAAGTTCTTTAAAACGACAAGAACCAAAGCAGTAGTAGTTATTAATAACAGCATAAAACTTAATTACGATCGTGGAAAACTAAGTTTATTGGAAAATAGGAGTGATAAGAAAGAAGGCAGTAGCAGCATTAATTTTGATTTGTCAGACTTAATTTCATGTAAAAATGACGAAATACTACCCGCAAAGGAAATTAACAGCATCTTAGATAGTTTGGATGATAACCAGGAAAACATTTCGTACCTTCAAACATTCAATAAAGACACCGAAAGTATTTGCAGAAATGAAAATTCAAAAATTATTTTAAAGGCAGATATCTCTGTATTAGGATCTGCAAATTCTATACAATTGCATAATATGCCTGATTACAACAAAAATAATGTAGAAATCGATGACAGAAATGATGTGACTCAGAAAATGAGTTCTTCGCCTACAAATATCAGTAATATAAACAACGGAGAACTCTTTCTTTCTCCGACTTCTCAAATGTGTGATATGACTTCTGGACTGGCCTTAAATAGTCCTAAAAAGGCTATAAAAAACATAACAACCACTCTAGAGAATTTAGAAAATCAATCAACTTTACATAGTAATTCTTGTAATTACAGACCAATAAAGTCAATTATGGAGCAAAAAAAATTGTTTCCCATATTTTATGGAAAAGCAACAACTTCTTTAGACAATCAACAAGTTAAAATTGCTGTGCAAAATCGTAATCAGAATAAAACTACTTGGAAGAAATTACCTAAAGATCAAATGCTGTTGGATGCTGGGCAGAAAAGATTTGGACTTACTGAATGCCACGAGTGTAAACTTGTGTATCATATGGGCGATCCAAGTGAGGAATTACTTCATCTAAACTATCACAATGCTGGAAGTATATTCCGATTTAATGTAAGTTAATGAAAAAACAATAAAAGACATTTGGAGTAATATTTTTTTAGGGATGGAAAAACGAGCGCGTTGTGGAAAACTTATCAGATGGCAGAATCATAAAAATTTTACCACAGGATTCAAAACTGTGGTGGAGAAAGGTCAAAGATTTACTAGAAATAGTTAACAGAGAATTGGGCATCTATGAGTTATCATTTAGTTTAGAAAATGTTCAGGTAAATAATATATTTGCTTTAATATAAAAATGTTAATCGTTGTCTATCTTCCTTTTAAAGGTGTACTTATTTATAAAAAATAAAATGGTTCAAGGCTGTTTGGTTGCTGAGCCAAAATCAAAAGCCTATCGAATGTTGAATAATGTTAATGGGGTAGACACCTGCTCAGAAGAGTCTTTTGTCATTAAATGCGGCGTTTCTCGTATATGGGTTTCAAAAACTTATCGCAGAAGAGGCATTGGATCTGCTTTAATGAATTGCTTAAAAAAGACATTCTTTGCCAATTATATACTTCACAACAATGAAATTGGTTTCAGTGGACCCACTGTAGATGGGAAATCATTTGCCACAAAGTATTTTAACACAAGTAATTTCTTAGTTTACACTGATTGAAAATTGTATTTCAAATAATTTACAGCAACATAAATTGTACCTCATAGTCTAAGTCGATTTTTGTAAAGGACTGTACATGTTTATTACCTGTTGTATAATTCGAAAATTTTATGTAGTTTGTACAATTGTGCCATCAAAAAGGACACCAGAAACTTTAAAAAGAAATCTAGTAGAAATTGATTTGTTTTTCATATGTTAGTACCTACGTTTTGAAATAGAATAATTTTTCGTTTATATATTTTGAATTAACGTTGATTGAGTTTAGTTTTTATTTTTATAAGTAAAAATTAAAAATAGTTGTGTTATAATTATTTATTAATTCATGTAAAGTAGAAGTGTTGTTTATTTTATACTTTGGAACAGTTTGGTAATAAAACTTAATTGAAACTTAACATTTAATGTTTTATTTAAATTCCGAATGCTTGATTAGACGAATGAAAGTAACAATAAATTAACGTTAACTATTTCAAATCATTTATTTATAACATAGTGATTTTAGTACAATTAACACATAATTAAAATACCAGCACAGAACCTAATAACACAAGGGTGCTCCAGCGTAATTTATAGACGTAATATAGGTATCCAAGTATTATGAGAGTTACCACTCGTCTGTAATTTGTTGGGATCGATCTCAATAAAACGAATATCACATAGCTGACGACATTGTGTAGAAGAACGTTATCAAACACAGTTTCTAAGCTCACTTTTGTACTGATTGAAAAATATAAGCAAAGTACAAACGCAATACTTAATATTACTGGTTTTAGTAATGATTTAACATTGATAGTTCTATTCATTTTTGAACGTATTTTGTCCTAAAGTATGTTCTTATTGCAAGCTAATAACTTATTAACTTGAATAAAAACTACTTGTTACTAAGTTGAAGAGTTAAGCCATATTAGACACTGATTGATTAGTAGATCAAAAATCCGTTACTTATCTTGTTTATTTAAGAAATGTAGAACGATAATCGTGTATTTACTTTGCCGATAAATGTTCTATTAAAAAAGAAATAGATTTCAAAGATAANAGATATTTTTATTGTTATATGCTTATTGGCATATTTTTTTCTTCCTTTCGGATATTTAATAATTATTTTTACGTTTATTGCAACTGCTATTTTATTTTTTAGAAATATAAAAGTATATTTGCATCTTCTACAAAATACTAACTACCGTTTAAAATTCCTTATTTTCAGCAACATTTGCCACTGTGTAAGTCTCGTTTCTTCTAGTTTTATTGAGGAGGAACATCAAATTTGGTATTTCTTTTGGTGTACAACGATATCCTCCTATATTTATTTATATATGTTTAAATCATTAAGTTCATTTGCAGAATTTACTGTAATACTATGCGCATTTCGTTTTGTTAGAAAATTAAATCAAACAGGCGACAAATGGGCGCACCTGTTAGATATTTCTCGGTGGCTTTTGTGTAATGAACATTATTTTTATTTGCAAGCATTTAACATCGTAAGTCTAATATTAACTTATGCTGTACTTTACCATTCAAAGTTTTTCAAAAAAACTTCAAAATTATTAATTATAGCTTTAGTAATTTCATATTTAATGAAAAACGTTTGGCTTCATAATCACTTATTACATAAAATATTTTATTTAGTGAATTTATTGATGTTTTCTAACTTTATTAGAGATAAACAAACTTTAAGTGGATTAGTTGTATTTTGGATCCTAAATAGCACTATACTTTTACGTCCCTATAACATTATTCTGATACCCTATTGTATTTTAAGCAGTTTTATTTTAAAAAAACACATAAAGTTGGAAAGTAACTTAGCATTTTGTCATTATTGGTTAGGAAATGTACTATTCTTTTGTCAAGGGCATAGTAACAGCTTAGCTAGTGTTGACATTGCAGCTGGATACATTGGCCTTACAAGTTATAATCAGCTTATTGTAATGCTACAAGTATTATTTCACACGTATACTTTTCCAATTTTGTGTAATTTGTTGGCTTTCAAGTACTGTCAAGAACATTACTATGTGTGGTCTGTAAATATAATAAGTCGGTTACTTGTTTTTACAATGACCACTTTTATTCTTACAATTCAAAGACACCATTTGTTTGTTTGGACAGTTTTTGCGCCTAAGTTAATTATTGAAGTTGTGCATACTCTTGTACTTTTCTTACAATTTTGTATTTACAATTTAAAATATACAAATGTATTTCTACAAAATAAAAAAAGTAAGATATATATGCCGTTTTTATTTCAATATATAAATATCAGAAAGTAATTACTAGAAAAAATATTCCTACAACTGATTGAAAAATAGAAGTTATGTCTAACAATAATACATTGAANCGTTTTTATTTCAATATATAAATATCAGAAAGTAATTACTAGAAAAAATATTCCTACAACTGATTGAAAAATAGAAGTTATGTCTAACAATAATACATTGAAAACAGGAGGGTATGTAGTAATTACTAAATGAAATTAATTTTTTTTAATAAAAAATATTACAGTGATTACTTACTGGTCAGTTAAAATAACTTAAAAATAACTATTTAATCTTCTGGTTTGTCTGGTGGAGGACCACACGGTTGCAACATTTTCTCCATAAGATTAAAACGTACACGAGCTTTAGCTTCGTTTTCAGCAATGGCAAAGTAACTTAACAAGTCTGGATGTCCTAGGTAGCTGGCATAACTGTCTCGATGTTGGTTTACCAACCATTCATATTTTGTAGTATCTGCATGTCCAGTTCCTATGTATTTTGACTGCAAATGTTCTAGCTGACTGTGAATATTATATCTGTCGCCCATATTTTTCTTATTTTGGTTAAAGAAAAACAAATTATTAACCTAAAATTAGATAATGCATATAGAACAAAACATTAAATTTTAATTATTTTTGACAGAACTGACCTTGAGTTAGCAATACAGAAGTGTTTAAATATTCACATTCGGTAACGTCACACCTTTTTTTATATGTTAATTATAATTGTTCTTCATTATAAAAGACCGTTTATTGAATAACGTAATATAACACTTTTTAAATTATTAATTCATATTCTTAAATAATTTAAATGTTACTAATTAAAAATAAAGATAAAATAATTCACTGCGAGTACAGAACGACTATCACTTTTGATTATCTTGTTTTCTTGACAGCTGTTCGCTGATGTTCAATTCAATCATTTGTATTTGGCGCAATTTGGCGGTAAAAGATACTGAAGTAAATGATTTTTGAATATTTAGTGTGTTTAAGTTTTTTCGAGTGTTTTGAGATACTAATTAAGTAACTCTATCCACTGGAAGCAGATTTGGTGAGTTAAAATTATTTCGAATTAATAATTTATAACAAAAAGCCGTCTTCTTCTAATAAATAACCTAAAACTTATTAACAAAATGAATATACTACTAATAGAATTGTAGTACATTCCCTTATTTATTAAAGGTCGTGGTGATACAGTTACATGAAATATTTCAGAGAACGTTTTAGTGATATGGCTGAAATAGCTGTGGATTCTGTGAACGAGTTGTCGCATTCTTCTCGTATTTCTGAAAGAAGACGAGCTTTGTTTCCTAATGACAACGATAGTGATAGTGATTTAGGATATATGAGCCCCTTAAGATCAGATTCAAGTTTAAGCCCTCCAGATTCACCACTTAATCAAGTACATCAAAGAGAGACTATGAGAAACGGTTTATTTAAGTTTGATGAAAGTTCTATAAACGATTACGTTATTTTGGGAAGTGTAGACAATAATACAACAAATTATTTTCAATGTAACATTAGTGGATCAGAGTTAGAACATACAAATTCCCCTTTTTTCACAAAACATCAGGATGAACTATCCAATTCATCATTAAAAATAGATACTAATGAAACATTTATTCCAGACACTCCATTAAAGTTATCTCCTGTTAAAAATCATCAAACTCCACAAGAGTCCTTTAACGTTTCTGTTAAAATTCCTAAACTTATACGTAAATCAGTTGATACTGGCTTTATTGTACAAGAGTGTGGGAAAAGAAAACTCTCTTCCCCTGAATCCTCCCCTACTTCTAAGTATCAAAAATTAGAAGGAGTCGTATCAAAAGTTTCAAGAGTCAGAACTACCTTATTTCCAGTTGAAGAGTCAGAAGTTTGTGTTTCTCCCAAGTCATTTTATCCAAAAATGGAGAACATTACAACTGAAAAATTTGAAAGCACTTTGAAGAATGAATCAAAAAAATGTAAGCCTAGATCTTCTCAAACATTTATATGTAATCGACGTAAAAAGAGTAGATTTGGACAGATAAATGCAGGAGTTAGACACAAAATAAGAAAACCAAAACAGAAAAGATCATCTAAGTCTCAGGTTTTAAAGGCTGCTCTAAATATATTAGAAAAATCACCTTTTAATGAATATCTCCAAGAAATGACAAATATTCAGAAAACTTCAACAATAACTCCAAATATGATCAAACAAATCCAAACAATTAAGAAAAATGACCCCCCTTTAAAAAATACTTCGGAAATTGAACCAGTTTATAAACATAATCCGTTAAGTATTGACCAAGAAAACAAAAAAAGAGAATTAAGTCCTCCTCCTGATAACAGTAAGAAGTTCTTTAAAACGACAAGAACCAAAGCAGTAGTAGTTATTAATAACAGCATAAAACTTAATTACGATCGTGGAAAACTAAGTTTATTGGAAAATAGGAGTGATAAGAAAGAAGGCAGTAGCAGCATTAATTTTGATTTGTCAGACTTAATTTCATGTAAAAATGACGAAATACTACCCGCAAAGGAAATTAACAGCATCTTAGATAGTTTGGATGATAACCAGGAAAACATTTCGTACCTTCAAACATTCAATAAAGACACCGAAAGTATTTGCAGAAATGAAAATTCAAAAATTATTTTAAAGGCAGATATCTCTGTATTAGGATCTGCAAATTCTATACAATTGCATAATATGCCTGATTACAACAAAAATAATGTAGAAATCGATGACAGAAATGATGTGACTCAGAAAATGAGTTCTTCGCCTACAAATATCAGTAATATAAACAACGGAGAACTCTTTCTTTCTCCGACTTCTCAAATGTGTGATATGACTTCTGGACTGGCCTTAAATAGTCCTAAAAAGGCTATAAAAAACATAACAACCACTCTAGAGAATTTAGAAAATCAATCAACTTTACATAGTAATTCTTGTAATTACAGACCAATAAAGTCAATTATGGAGCAAAAAAAATTGTTTCCCATATTTTATGGAAAAGCAACAACTTCTTTAGACAATCAACAAGTTAAAATTGCTGTGCAAAATCGTAATCAGAATAAAACTACTTGGAAGAAATTACCTAAAGATCAAATGCTGTTGGATGCTGGGCAGAAAAGATTTGGACTTACTGAATGCCACGAGTGTAAACTTGTGTATCATATGGGCGATCCAAGTGAGGAATTACTTCATCTAAACTATCACAATGCTGGAAGTATATTCCGATTTAATGTAAGTTAATGAAAAAACAATAAAAGACATTTGGAGTAATATTTTTTTAGGGATGGAAAAACGAGCGCGTTGTGGAAAACTTATCAGATGGCAGAATCATAAAAATTTTACCACAGGATTCAAAACTGTGGTGGAGAAAGGTCAAAGATTTACTAGAAATAGTTAACAGAGAATTGGGCATCTATGAGTTATCATTTAGTTTAGAAAATGTTCAGGTAAATAATATATTTGCTTTAATATAAAAATGTTAATCGTTGTCTATCTTCCTTTTAAAGGTGTACTTATTTATAAAAAATAAAATGGTTCAAGGCTGTTTGGTTGCTGAGCCAAAATCAAAAGCCTATCGAATGTTGAATAATGTTAATGGGGTAGACACCTGCTCAGAAGAGTCTTTTGTCATTAAATGCGGCGTTTCTCGTATATGGGTTTCAAAAACTTATCGCAGAAGAGGCATTGGATCTGCTTTAATGAATTGCTTAAAAAAGACATTCTTTGCCAATTATATACTTCACAACAATGAAATTGGTTTCAGTGGACCCACTGTAGATGGGAAATCATTTGCCACAAAGTATTTTAACACAAGTAATTTCTTAGTTTACACTGATTGAAAATTGTATTTCAAATAATTTACAGCAACATAAATTGTACCTCATAGTCTAAGTCGATTTTTGTAAAGGACTGTACATGTTTATTACCTGTTGTATAATTCGAAAATTTTATGTAGTTTGTACAATTGTGCCATCAAAAAGGACACCAGAAACTTTAAAAAGAAATCTAGTAGAAATTGATTTGTTTTTCATATGTTAGTACCTACGTTTTGAAATAGAATAATTTTTCGTTTATATATTTTGAATTAACGTTGATTGAGTTTAGTTTTTATTTTTATAAGTAAAAATTAAAAATAGTTGTGTTATAATTATTTATTAATTCATGTAAAGTAGAAGTGTTGTTTATTTTATACTTTGGAACAGTTTGGTAATAAAACTTAATTGAAACTTAACATTTAATGTTTTATTTAAATTCCGAATGCTTGATTAGACGAATGAAAGTAACAATAAATTAACGTTAACTATTTCAAATCATTTATTTATAACATAGTGATTTTAGTACAATTAACACATAATTAAAATACCAGCACAGAACCTAATAACACAAGGGTGCTCCAGCGTAATTTATAGACGTAATATAGGTATCCAAGTATTATGAGAGTTACCACTCGTCTGTAATTTGTTGGGATCGATCTCAATAAAACGAATATCACATAGCTGACGACATTGTGTAGAAGAACGTTATCAAACACAGTTTCTAAGCTCACTTTTGTACTGATTGAAAAATATAAGCAAAGTACAAACGCAATACTTAATATTACTGGTTTTAGTAATGATTTAACATTGATAGTTCTATTCATTTTTGAACGTATTTTGTCCTAAAGTATGTTCTTATTGCAAGCTAATAACTTATTAACTTGAATAAAAACTACTTGTTACTAAGTTGAAGAGTTAAGCCATATTAGACACTGATTGATTAGTAGATCAAAAATCCGTTACTTATCTTGTTTATTTAAGAAATGTAGAACGATAATCGTGTATTTACTTTGCCGATAAATGTTCTATTAAAAAAGAAATAGATTTCAAAGATAACTTAAAAATTCCTTTCTTAAAACGGTATAGGACTTTACGTTCAAAGCTTTATATAGTTGATACTGGCTTTATTGTAC